AAATGACACAGCTCTGTCCTACTGCCCGTTGAGCTTTTCATCCCGCACCGGGAAAAGAGAGTGGTTCTTTTACAGGTGGGGAAGGTTTGGGATCTCCGTGGGATAACTGGGATCTGGTCCTGGTGCGGAGAAGAACCGGTAACACGGGGACCCGGGCGAGGCGGACGCATCGCTCAGGTCCTCTGTAACGCTGATTTACACCCGGGTCGCAGGGTGAAGTCCGCGAGCGGTCAGGGATCTTCCTAAAGCTGGTGTAGGGCCGGCTTCCCTGGTGCCACGGGGGCGGCGATGCTCTCGTGAACTGCTAGACTTGTGGGAGAGACCGGTTATTTATCGTGTGATGGAAACGAATGTATTTGGGGCTTGTGGAATGGTGCAGAGAGGGGGAAAAAAAAAAAATCCTACTGGATTTCAATTGTAGGAGAAAAACAGGGTGGTAACTGGAATAACTGGGTCTCAAGGTCTGGAAACTGTCCTTTGCTATTTGGAGTGTATTTATGTTCCTTCAAAGCACTCGTCGGTCGCCATGTGTGTTTTGGGTCCTGTCCAGGTCTGGACAGAACGTTCCCAGCTTCGGACCCGTGCAACTCTGCAAGCCCGGCATGGCCGGGAGCTTCAGTTGGGCTGGAAAATCGGCTCCAGGCTACCGACGCGCATCTTCTGGGGTCCGGGTCGCTCTCACCCGGGTCTTTCCCCGACAGCATCGGGTCTGGGAAGGAGCCACCGCGAGTCGGCGAGCGCGGTGGAGCGCAGGTTTGGTGATGGTGACGTATCCGGGCAAACGCAGGTACCAGAAGACGACTTTCCAGAGACGAGCCTTGCTTAACCGGCAAGTCTTCCTCCCGTGCCTCTCTTAAACCACTGGAAAGCAGCGCTTTTGACTAAAAGGCCCATTAGTTGGGAGAAACTGGTTCGGGTATTAATTACGCTCCTGAGCGCTGATGGATTTACTGTCACAAGTTTTGTGTTTCTTGCGTTACGGACTCCAACAAACAGGAAACGGAGCGTACGCAGGAAAAACCGTGCGTGATTGTTGAGCGTCAAGTTTTCGCAGTAAACGGGCTGCCGTGTTTTGGGGGGGGGGAAAAACCTCCTCCGGTCTTTCCCTCTAGCAGTGGTCAGAGCTGCTGGTGGCACTAAGTTGAACACGTCTGTTTTGGGGAGAAAGAGGCGATCGGAAGGACTGAAGTGCGTAAAAAATATATCTCGTACCTGGCGTTAGCACGAAGAAATCGTCGTCTCGATCCGTTGTGTGTTTTGGTAGAGGCAGCAGAGCGTTTTATGGGAACGTGAACCATTAAACTTGCTCAAAGGTAGAAATATTGTTTTCAAATAACCTGCAGACCTGGCAGCAGCGAGTTGGTGCGTCTCCCGTTTATCCCAAGAAGGGAATTACCGGACCCCGATCCTGCGAGTCTGTCAGCAGGTCCCAGATCAAAGACATTACGTGACGCTGAACTTCCTTGCAAAGCTCTTCTGGTGGTTCATTGGCTGCATTATCTGCCAACAAGTTGTCTTATTTCTCACTGGGATTTTTCTAACTCTGTTTGTCAGCCGCTGGATCTTGTCCTCCCTTTCAAATAATTCATCTGCTTTAGATTTGAGATTTTCATGGGTTTTGCCCCATTGCTCTTTCATAATGCCATCGCTCGGCCTGGAACAAAGCCCGTTTCACAAAGGCATTATCTCTGCATTACTGACCAGTACATCTTCTTTCATATTGCCTTGGAGTGGAGAACTGTTGACCCCTTTCTCAATAGCTTCTTCGCTGGGGCCCCTTTGATATGCAAAGGAGTTGCTAATCAGTTCTGTAATCGGTGTGATGTGTTTGCATTTTAATCAAGAAGTGACTGTGTAGAAATAACCTTCTCGTAACCTGCTTATTGCCCGTCTTAGACTGCGTTCGCTGCTTTTCCCTGCTGCAAACAGGTCACTGTTCCATTGACTGCGGGCTCCGAAGAAACTCCAGGAAAGCAAGATCTCATTTTGTCGGCTGCCGGTGACCCTCGAGTCGCTGCCGTGGCCGGAACGATCCCAGCCGGCTCCGCAGCTCTGGAGTGGAAGCGGTGGCACCGGCAAAGGCGGCAGAGCTCATCTCCCTCGAGCTGCTTATGGAGGAGTTTAATTTAGAACAGCGTCTCGCCGTGCAAGTCGTAGCGTGAGAGCGAGACCCCGGCGCTAGAGGAGCCCTGCGGTCCAGCCGCTGTTGTGCCGGCAGCCGGGAACTCTGCTCTCCGCCTGTTTGCGGGCTCTCGGTTGTCATCGCTGCCGCGGGAGCACGTGGCGAGCCCGTGGGTCCGTGTGGCCCTTCTGTCGCCGTCCCTGAGGTGGCACCACGAGGTGGGGAGAAGATGTGGCGTGTCTGGAGTCGCACCGCTCTGCTCATGCCCTACGTGAAGAGAGCACAGCTCTCTGATTTCTCTCGAGCTGAGTGGAAGCCTTTGCCATTCGCTTCTCCGGTATTTTTGTGCCCCACGCTGTTGTAACTTGTCAGTCCTGACTTCGTGGCTCTTCCCGTCACTTCATCCCTCGGGGTGCTTGCGTGCAAACATCTGCTCCTGCTGTTTATTCTCAACCAGAAGTTGCTCAGATGTTAAGTGACGAGAACAGAAGGTTTTCCAGGCCGCTGCCCCGCGGCCCAGGGTTCTCTCATGGAAGGGATCGACGGGTCTCGCATTGCGGAGCTGCTGGACAACAGGCTCCGGCTTTTCTGTGCCGGGATCTGGGCACAGCTCATCGTTTTGGGGTGCAGCTCCGCTCTCAGAGCAAGGATTGACAACCCTGCCTCAAATTTAGCCTTTGTACGGCTGCGTCTTGGCCTCGTATCAACGTAACATCAGTATTAGTATCGCTGAATAGTCACACATTTACTTTTTGGCTCTTTGAGCAGTGTCAGAAGAGCACTTAAAACCCCAGCCTGTGAATAAATGAACGGTGATCAAGCGATAGCTTCTCCAGCTGGCAGGAGGTTCGAAGCCTTGATGTGAGCCAAGAACGGCTGTTGCGTCGCTGGCTGTTTTTCTGTCCCTCCAGGTGTTTGGGTGGGGGTTAAAGCAGCCTCTGCTGTATCTTGTCTTGTGCTCGAGTGTACGTGTTCTTCCAAAGTTGTGATGTTTGGCTTTTCTCTGTTTCAGAGACTAGAAAGATGCGTGGGCATCGTGACTTCGCTAACCAACGGGCTGTCGGAGAGGGAAGCTAACGATGCCCTCAACGCTCACGTAAGTGTCATCTCCTTCAGGGATGAGAAATCCTGCCCGGATGAAATAATTCGTGGTGTATTTCTACCTGTGCAGATCTCTGTCTGAGAGAACGGGCACGCAAGTTGTTAGCAAGGCAAGGCACAAAGAACAGGCAGATACAAAGAGGCTGGGGAACGGAGCCTGCTGTGCTCTCGCGGCTCTCAGACTGTCAAGGATTCCCAGAGCTGTTCCAATTAAAAGACAAAACGACATCGCGGCTTTAATCCCTGTCTAGTCACCTATTTGGAAGCCGACCTGCAGTGCAATTTCTTGCTGAACTCTGGCTCTGAGTGTGTGTCTCTCCCAGCGTACGGGTGTTTCCGTGTGCGTGCACGCACGCGGGAGTCCGTCACCACGCGCGTGCTGCTAGTGTTTGCGTTTCTCGTGTATTTTTGTGCTCCTGCGCTGTTCTGATCAGCTTTTTCCTGGCTTCCAAACAGCCAGGCTCCAGACCACTGAAAAGGGCAGGTTCAGCCTTTCTATTGAGGGACGGAGCATTTATTTCTAACTCTGCATAGTCTTAAAATACTTGCCAGCAAGCTGCAGATGTTACCGTATAAGGAAAACCGTCGCGTGACGTTAATGGGCTCTCAGACGTGTTGGTTGCATTTTTTTCCTCCCCAGAACACCTTGGGCTGTTAGAGTCAGTGGTACAAAGTTGTCTTCCCTTAATGGGAAAAGGTCGGCGACCCAGGCTGGATGTCAGGGCTCTGAAGCTCATGAAATGCTTTCCCGCATGGATGAACAGGTTGTAGGAAAGGCTGTAAGAGCAGCCTGGGCAGGTCCCTGGCCGTGGGACAGGGCTCAGGGATCTGCTGCTCCTCTTCTCTGGGGGTTTGTTGCCCCTCAGTAACGAGATATCCTGAAGGGCTGCAATGAAAATCACCTGAAAGCTCTCAGGACCCAAGAGATTTGCACCAGCATTAACTTGGCAATGGGGTAAAAATGTTTTCTGTGTTCCCTTGTCATCGCGTTTTGAATTCCGTGCTGGGTGCTCCGTTGACCGCCCGTTTGGTGGGCTCGTGAGGGTTTTCCTCCTCCTGTTGCTTTACTGACCTTCCTCTAACGTCCCGTCTCACCCGCTCACCGATGCCACTTGTGTTTTTCTCTCTCAGATATGTAAAGGAACCCCCCAGCATGAGGAAATCTGCCTGGGTCTTTTCACTCTGGTCTTAACCGAACCTGCTCAGGCGCAGAAGGTAAGGCAACACCTGCGCCCGTCGTAGGTGCGGAAACTTTATTCACGAGAGATTTTTTTGCTTTCCAGGCAGCCGGGGATTCGGAGCTGTGAAAGTTTTGGGTCTCGTGCAGGCGTCGGAAGGCGCCTGGCCGGAACGCTCGGCGCTGAGCGGTGTTTATTGTAGCAGGGCAATGACTTTGCTTGGACCGTTCCTGGTTTTGTTGTGTCCACGTGGCACAGGGGCCGCAGCAGCTGCTGCTCAGCGGAATGCAGATACTGCGACAGGGGAAGGGAGCTCGGCTGGGCTCTTTCACAGCCCTAGAATTAATTGGTTTTCGCTGTGGGAGGCAAATACTGATTCTTCAAGAAACTGTAAGGCCTTTCCCTGTTTCTGCCTTGTTTTTGGAGGCCCAGAACGGATTTGCATGCTGGAAGCCAGATGTAGATGTCTACAGAAATAATCACCTAGACTCTAGAGGAGGAACATGTTCATTTCCTAGAGAAAATTGCTTTTTAGCAGTGCACCTCTATTAATTTCACAGCCCAGATTTAATTTTTAAATAACTCTTTTTAACGATGCTGTAAACTGTGATTTTTTTTATTTTTTATTTTTTTTTAAATTGTAGTTACTCACCTACAGGAAGATGACTGTTTTGTATTCTAAAGACCTTGGATGTGGATTTGGTGCTGTTGCTACAAACTGGGGCGCTCAGGCAGGGAGTTGAAAATGATATTTTGTTATAGAAACCAGACCTGTTTGTAGCAGCTACAAGGAAAAACAAAAGCACTGTTGGAAGGGCCGCGCGTGGCGAGTGATACCCGGGGGGGGGTGTCCGTGTTTGGATGCGTTTTGGTTAATAGGCGTTGAACGGAATTTGAAGTGGACTCTTGAAGTCGGCAGGGTCTGGCGCGAGCACGTCCGAGTGGCGTGCCGTTAGGGATGCTCTGTAAATCCCGGCGCTGCGCTGGACCGAAGGTGACTCATGCAATATTCTCTCTTGATTTAATCACTGTTGCGAGGGCAGAGCTTTCTCCAGCAAAGCAATAGATCTGCATTAGCTCCCAGAACTCATAGCTGCCTTGGCATTGCTAGAGGAGACGGTCCTTGTCAATGAAGGTACGGCTCCATTCCCCAGAAATCACCTCCTGAAAGCAAAGCACGCTTCTCCTGGGACTGCTTACGGTGCTGGCGCGAGTCAGATTTTGGTTAGGTGGCTGCGTTTTGCTCTGTCTCCTTGCTGACTTTCCCCAAAGCCTGACCGCAGAGTCCTCAGCCTTGCTCTCCTTAGGCTCTGGCCTGATTCTGCCTCGTGCGCTGAGCACGGGACTTGTAAACCTGGAGAAGCCGAATCCAGCTGAGGCTCGGAGCACACATCCTTGCGAGGGGCCAGGATAAACCTGCCCGGCACGTTCCCCTCTGTGGTTTCCTCCGGGAAAGGGGAGCGACAGGGAGGGAGCGATCCGGCTCCCTTGCGACCGGGCTGCTGGCAGGCACCGACGCCGTCTCCGAGATGGCAGACTGGGGCTATGATTTGCTGCTCATGGCCACGTTAATTAGAGGTGGCTGGTCCTCCTGCTCTTGTCGGATCTGCTCTTCGGAGCAACGTTACTTTTCTTAGGGAGTAATTGGATCTGTTGGGCTCTGATGTCATCTGTTGCTGCCACCTGCCCTGTATCCAGACAGCAAGGACAGGAAGCCAGTCAGTGATTTTTCTACCAGGCTTTGGGGGGAAATTACTCCTTGCCTTTGCTCCCTGCCTATGAAGAGAGGTTAATGTTTGCCTGACATCACGCTAAAGCATCTTGCGAGACTCTTGAGAGAGCTCTGAGATCGTCAAGCAGAGGGCAGAGCTCTGCTCGTCCTCCAGCGAGAAGCCTGTGGCTCCAGGATGCCCAGCCCAGCCAGCCCCCGTCGTCCGCAGTCGCCGTTCCCGCCTCTGGTCACAGGTGAAGATTCGCAACCTCGAGCGTCAGCGTGGGAACATCGAGCCCAGCGAGGTTGGTGTTGAAGCGATACAGCTCTGAGTCACACGTACCCCACGAGGCTTCACCGTCCTCCTGGGACCCGTTGTTTTGCCAAAAAGAAAAAAGGAATATCGTAGCTGGCCGTGTTTGCATTAATCTTGTATTTCTTCAGCGGATCCGGCTCGTCTCGCACGGTGGCCTCGCTGTCCCCCAGCGAGGTGCGTGGAGAGGTGGAGGTACCAACCCTTCCTCCCGGAGAAGCTGTTTAAAACACATCTCCCTTCTTGGGAGGGGGCTTGAGCTGCCCCGTCCCTTCGCTGATGGATTAAAGAAATGGTGGCACAGCCCTTCCCTCGCTCGGCGGAGGATCGGCTGAAGCACGCAGGTCTCCTTCTCCCCCTTTGTTGTCGTGACACTCCAGCCAGGAGAGATTAGCTGTGCTAAGCTTGTCCGGCTGTGAGGAGGGACGCTTGACCGCCTTCAAATATCAAAGTGACAGCAACTGATCCCTCAGATCTCCCTCCTCCACCTGGCACCTCTCACTTTAATTAACGCTCTGCTCCGGGATCAGAGTGCACGGAGCCCTCCCCACAGATGAGCACGGCGCTTCCCTGACATCTCCTCCGGCGTCTGTCCGCCCTGTGCCTCTTCTGCCCTGGTGCCGAGCAGGGCGCTCCTCCGCCCGACGGCTGTTTTATTTTTCTTCTCCCTTCATTTAAAGCGAACATTTATCATTTGTTCCTTCCTGTTAATTAAACGGCCTGTGCGAGTGGCGGCTCCAAGCTGCCAAGAGCGGAGAGGAGAAGATGGATTGTTCGCAGCCTTCGCAATAATCAAGAAATTCAGGTTTTTTTCCCCACCCCCCTAGCTGCTGGAGCCCTGAAATTTTTCTCCAAGCGCTTTCCTTTGGATTATTGCTTCCATCCTTGTGCCGGAGGCTGTTAGTCCAGTCTGACCCGTCTAAGCAACTGGTCGGTGACATGCCGTACTGCCGTGACCCTGATAAAACGCGACTCGTTCTCCTCTGGCCTCTTGTACTTTGGGCCAAGGATCAGTGACATCGTAGGTGCGGTTCAAGTTTTGGTTTTCTGCGGTGTTTGCTTGTGGGATTTGAGGAAATATGCGGTGAGCAAGGTGAAGAGCTGCCAAACTTCCCTAGGTGATAGGATTATGGTGTCCTTCCTACCGGGACTTAAATACTCAACCAGAAGTAAACCCCTTGGAGTGGTTCTTCTAGCTGTTCGTTCCAGCCCTTCTCCTGAGGATGCTGCCAGAATCAGCCCAGCCCGTCAGGAAATAATCCACGCCCTCAGGGCCGTATCACAGGACCTCTTGGTGGCTTTAAATGCAGATGTGGACACCGCACCTCGCACACGTACGGCAGAAAACCAAAACCTAGACGTTTCACCCAAAAAAAGCATGAATTCTTTGAACGCAGGAGCTACAGAGTACCAAGTAACGCTACTAAGATGAAAAATGTTCGTCTCGCTGCCGCTCCTAAGGGTGCGGAAATGCACCTGCCTGTGAGAGAGAAGTGCCAGGGGCGATGGGGGGGGTGTAATCCTGTTGTCGAGGCAGGATCCAGGCAGGATTGGGACCTGACAACGCCAGCGTTTGCCAAAACGAAGTAAAAAAACTTTGAGTCCGGGCAAATCGCAGGAGAGCTGGCATCCCGTGTGCTCCCGGGCCGGCTGTGTCCGGAACCGGCTCTGTCCCCTGTGTTTTCCCATCGGGGCGATGGATGCGTTTCTTTTTTTCGAAGCTGATGCAGCCGGGGGAGATGATGCGCGTTCCTGGCCAGGTAGTCGGCTGTGTGGAGACTTTGAGTCTGGCTCTGCTTTGTGGGTATTCATTTAGCATTTCAAAAGCAATTAAAGGCCCCAAAGAGTCTACACCTCTTGGATTCTGGGGTTTTTTGGTTTGTTTGGGATTATTTTTTTATTTATTTTTTTTATACGGTGCTATGTGAAAAAGAGAGGGAGAAAGCCTGAGCACAGGGAGCCTAATCAAAGAGATCTTTTGAGGCCTCATTAACTCTCGAAAGGAGGATGCAGAGACCAGACCCCTGCTCTCTGGAATATCATGACATTTACTGGCACAAATTAACATTCATGCAGAACCACTTAGCAAATTACTTCCTAATCACCCTCCACCCCCTGCTGTCCTGACCGTAGGGGAAGGGAGAGCCAGCACCTTTGCTCTCTGGCCAACATTTTGTCTGGCTGCTGGTGGCAGATGAGAGCGGAGAAAGTCCTTCCTTTCCCTCCGATGGTTCCCTCGTCCAATAGCACAGCCCCACCAAATCCGCTGGTTTGGACCTCGGGTAGGTTGTCAGGATTTCTAACCCGAAACAAGCCAACATGGTAGCATGGTTTTGAGCCGGACGGTCTCCAAACTGAGTTCTGCCTGACCTTGGAAGTCTTTGTGTGAGCAGGAGCGGGTGGCATGGGGACGATCCGCCTCCGTTCCTGCATCTCCGTGGAGCTCCGTGTTGAACCAGCATCCATCGTAGTGACCTCGAGTCCTGCAGGCATCTTCAGCGCGGTTCCAGTTGTCACTGGTGCCGGGCAGATCGGAGCAGAGGGTCCCTTAAACGATCTGGTTGTAACTGTTTATTAACCGATCCTTCCTGAAGGACTGGTGTCTGTCTTTTCTCTCTAGCGTTGGTCTCTCTGGAGCTGCGGCAGGGTGCGGGGAAGGCTGGGGTGCGGGGACAGGGACACCCGACAGTAGCCGTTCTGGAGTGAGGCGCCTTTGGCTCCTGGGGCTAAATCCAGTGAATCCAATGTCAGTTTATAACATCCCAGAGGATTAATGGCTCTCCCTGCCTGGCCCTGGGATACCGTCACCCCATGGGAGTCTGCCTGCCATGATGTTCTTTCCCTGGGACTCATTTATTTGCTGTTTTCCGGTCAGGTTTGATAAAACCATTGTATGTTTTCTGTTATGATCCTTCATCCGTAATCTTCTCCCGCTCTCCTCCTCTGCTGCAGTGCTACCGGGACTTGGCACTGGTGAGCCGAGATGGCATGAACATCGTTCTCAACAAGATCAACCATATTCTCATGGAGAAGTACTTGAAGCTGCAGGACACCTGTCGGACCCAGGTGAGGAGAAGGTTTTTCTCCCCAAAATCGCTCCTTTCACACCAACCAGGCAGAGGATGAGCAGAGGGTGTTTGAGTGTGGAGATCTTGGGAGGCAGCTGGCACCGGTGGAGCTCCTTTGCTCCGCGTTAAGGACTCGTTAAGGAAGGGAAACGAGGCAGCCGCGGTGTTGGGAAGAGGTGTCGTGGGGGAGGCTATGGCAAAAGCTGCGCTGATCTCTCCCTCTGCCCAGCTGGTGTGGTTGCTGCGGGAGCTGGTGAAGAGCGGGGTGCTCGGCGCGGATGGCGTCTGCATGACCTTCATGAAGCAGATTGCAGGTGAGTCGTGTCGCAGGAGCGAGGTGTTCGCTACCTGCGTCTCCCCCCCTGCTCGTGTCAGCAGGCCGGGCGCTGTCGGCGATGTACCGGGGTTGATTCGTGGCATCAGAGCCTGTGCTGCCAGGCAGCCAGGTCCGGACAGGCTTCCTGAGTGTCTCTGTACCCAGCACCAAGCCTGCCCCAACCCGTCTGGTGAGGAAATCTCTCCAGGGAGGATGGAGCGGAGGATAAACCTTCAGGAGTCTGTTGCTCCCAACAGCCTCTACGCAAGGGTGAATCACGGAGAGAGCCAAGAGGCTTCTGGCAAGTGCTGGAACAGCCAGGAAGTGTATTGGTTCCTGTTGCTGCCAGCTTTCACCCCGTAGCACTGCGTAAGAGCACCAGGATCGTCCTTAGTCCTTGCTCTGACCTCCAGGACGGCAAGAGCCGTGCGTGTGGCTCCTCTGTAACTCATCAGGGACGCAGGAGGCTGTTTCACCCCACGTAAAGTCAGTGGCTCCTCCAGGGAGGTGGCACTGGCCGTACGGTAGTGTGTTCCCCCCAGCCCGCAGTGTGAGCGCCCCACGGCCGTGCACGCGTACACACGCCTTTCCGGATTCACAGGAACGGTGCCTCTTCCGTGTTCTCTACTCGGCACTGGCCGTTGACGTCCACGAAGGAGGAATTAATGTCCCACCGTAAAACCTGACATTGTGTTTTTATTGTATGCGCCTGTGACACGGGGCTGGGCAGCCTGGGTTGGAAATTGCCGTGTCTGCCCTTCAGGGGAGGAAGAATGGAGAGGGAGGGGACGGAGTCCTGAGCGTGAGCCAAGCCGCCCTGGCCCTGTTGTCACAGTGTAAACACAGAACGTTTAAAAAATCACTGGTGGAGGCATCCCTTGTTTCCCCTCGGTTGCACCTCCCCGTTCAGGGCCCCTTCTGTTCTGGAAGGATGCCGCTGTCTCACTTCTCACCGCTTTTTACGATGTTTTAATTGTTATGATTCCATTGTTTTGGCTTGCCTGCTTTAGGCATTTTCTGTGCCCCTGCGAGCAGGAGTCCCGCTCCGCTCCCAGCGATGTCGGCCGAAGGCTCCAGCTTCGTGCTGAAGGCCCGCGCCGAGGGCGTGAGACACCGCTTTGACACCTGGCCTTTATTGGAGGGTTTGGGCATTCTTTGCAGACGCCGTTTCCCCTTTGTAGGCTCAGCAGCTGCAAATGTTTTCTCTATCCCAGCTACTGAATCTCATCCCTTTCTGGTTTCTCCTTTGCTTCCCAGAAGGATATATTATCACAGTCGTTTTGCAGGAAAACCGTTGCAGCAAAGACCCCCTCGATCCCCTCACAGAAATGTGCTGTATCTAGGAACAGCCAAGCACGTGCGGCAGGCAGAGCGGGACCAGGCAGGAGCGCGTGCTCCAGACAGGGAACAAACTCCCTTAATGAGCTTTGTCTTATTGGGAATGCTGGGGTCGAAACGATCGGTGATTCAACGGAGTCTGGCAACGGAACCGTTCCCGTTCATCCGACTGGCTTTTCTCTTCCCTCTTGCTCTTTCGTTTTCAGGTGGGGACGTGACAGCGAAGAATATCTGGCTGGCCGAGAACGTCCTGGAGATACTGACCGAGCAAAGGTACGACCATTCGGGAGGCGCTGGCGAAGGCTGGCTCAAGTCTGAAGAGAGCAGCGGCCGGGCACGAAGCGAGGGAGAGCGTTCCTTGCCTGCCTGCTAAGAGGGTGGTTGTCCCGCTCACCGCAAGAGAGGCAGATTTCGGGCCGGTGGTTTTTTGTGGTGACAGCCCGTCTGGGAGTGTGTTGATGGGGTTTCCTGTGCAGAAGACCTCTGCGTTCCCTTACTGTGTTACCAAGCGTATTTTCAAGCCGTGGCATGAATTTCGAGCTCTCGGAGCCCTCTTGCTGCAGGTTGTGTGTGGGAGGGTGTCCTGAAATCCCTCCGTTAGCAAACCTCGGTTTGAAGAGGGGCTGCGCGTCGCGTCAAATAAGATATTCTGCCCGGGCTGATAACCTCTCCCGTGTGAGGACACGGCTCTTCCCGAATGTACAGCACCCGTAGGTGATCAGCCCACCCTCTGGGCAGTGGGGTGGCATCGCCTCGTGTGGCTGAGGAGCACGCGTGGCTCCGGAGCAGCATCCCAGGAATATTTTCTTCCTGAGTTTCCCCGAGCTGTGGGGGAGGTGTTCCTTTTGGAGGAGTAGGACAGAGTTAATTGCCCAAAAAACTTCCTCTGTTTAAACAGCTCCCGCTTCATCAGGGCTGCAACTTTAATTTGTTGTGGACAGGCCATCTGGGAAGTATTGTCCTATGGGCTCAGCATTGTCCTTTGTTGGCACAGCAGCCGCTAATTGATGATAAGCAGAATTCCAAACTGCAGCCGTTGGCTGGGCAGAGTCATTATTTTTAAATAGCCTATAGCTTTTCACCGAGCGCTGTCTATAATAGCAGCGATTCTCCTAAAATCGCTTATTACAGCGGTGAACAATCAAGTTGTTAGAGCATTTATTTGGCCGCAGCTAACAGCCCTAGTGATTTTTATTCCGGGAATAGCTGTGCGAGTGTGCGCTGCTGCGAGTGCCATCTAGTGCCCCCACCACGCACGGGAAGGAGAGACCCTCTGAGATCTCCTGGGCTTGGCTGACCTTCCGTTCTTCGCAGTATTGCCTCGCCTGCCTTTGTGCTAAGCTCAACTTTTCTATTTTCAACCCTATTTAAGCCCCTGCCAGCTCTTGACGGGGGTCTTCCCGTGTGCTGGTACTACTCGCCACCTTGGAGCATCTCGGAAGCGCTCCTCGTCTCACCGAAGCACGTTGCAGCTCTTGTCTTGCAAACACATAACTGCAAACAGTCGGACTGTGGGAGAAGTAGCGGCTTCTCGGTGGTGATCCAGAGCCACGTCTGGCCGCGGATCTGCAGGAGAAAGCTCCGTGCTTTGAATAACAGCCGAGCTTTGTCGCTTGCGGAGTTTCAGAGGAGGAGATGTGAGAGGAAAAGGCTCGGCCCCTGTTGGAGGTATTGCTGGGGTGTCAGTGCTACGTACTGTAGCAGCACAGAAACTGTCTGAGCAGGAGGAGAGCTGAGGATTGGAAGCGAGCCCAAGGGAGAACCTGCAGCTCTTTGCCGGGATTTATGTGCTTTGATTAAGGGAAAGGCAGAACTTTAATTAAAGCCACGCGTGTGAAGATCTGATGCCACATTCGGAGTGTTGAGTGCTTGGTTTAATTAAAAACAGTTACAGCAAAGCTGCTTCTCAAGCACCGCCCGCCTCGGAGAGGAGGCAAGTCTGCTACCTCTCAAAAGCCGGGTGTTAATTTAGCTTCTTGCTGCTAATGGCAGCACAAGTGCGATGTTTCCTCCGAGTGTTTTCATTTCCTCTGCCTGTCGGATCGATGAATCCTGCGGCTGGGGGTGGCTTTTGCCCCCTCCCTTTGACAGCGTTTTTATTTTCTGCGCAGCCCTCAGTGGGAAAAGGGGGAGATGCTGACCTGCCAGCCCCCCGGGATCCTGGCCTTAATTACTCCCACATCCTCCCTAACGTAACCTCCGCTCAGCACCGTGTGCTCCCCGGCCAGCTCGCCCAGCCGACTAATTAACCTGCTCCTACCATCCAGCTAGATGCAGGGAGAAGAGCCTGGGAAAGCAAACGCTTGTCACGTCTTCCCAGGCTCCCCTCCACGATGATTTAGGGCTGCCGACTCATTTGCCGCTGGGCTGGTGTCTCTTCGGGTGGCCGTGGCGTTACGGCCGCTGCACGCAGCGGTGGCACTTCCACGGGGCTTCTGATTTACGGCTCGCTGAGCCAGGGGATGCTGTGGGTGATCAATCACCGAGCCGCCCTGGCCCGTTCTTGGCATCCATTGCAAATAACCAAGCCCGCGAGGTCATTTTTATGGATTGAGAATATTTATTGTTGAGTTTAGATAAGGGAGGTTGAGAACGTGGCACACCCAGCAGACCGGGCGCTGCTGTACGGGCAGCACAGGCAGGAGACGGGGGGGGGGCAGGTTTTTTGCGGTGGGCCCCAGCCGCTCTGAGGCAGCGGGTCTGAAGCGCCTGCCTTCATAAATAAGTGTCTGCCTTAATAAATCTGCCTCCAGAAAGCTGGTCCTGGGTATGAAGCACCGCTTGCCCCTGTCCTTCCCCGAGGTGGGACAGATTCCTGCCGTACCCACGACGGGGCTGCGATGTCTCTCCCACCGCAGACCCTCTCTACGCAGCTAGATCTGCCCTCTCGCAAATCTTCCTAGTATTTGAGCTTAAGCGCATCTGTTTTTCCCCAGATCTTGCCGTTTGGTGCTTCCAGCTCCCCTGCTCTTTTCCTTCTGCCCCACACACCGTTGCCCAGTCAAGCCAGGGCAGGGGCAGCTCTTCCTCTGCCCCAGTGCTGCGGGAGCTGCTTCCCAGCCCCGCGCGGGGCTCGCGCGCTGCCGTATCTCGTTAACAGCTGCCCCGTGTGACCCGCTGCTCAGAACGCCACCGCTTTCGCTGGATTAATCCACTTGGCACTGGCAGACTGGCGGCAGGGGAGCACGAAAACGCCTCTCGCACGGGTGCACGTGAGAACGTTCGGAGCCTGAGCCCGTGGGAAGGTTCTTCGTAGCTTGTCCTGGTGTGTCGTCTCTTCCTCGGTGCTGTTCTGGCTATGGAGATCATTAAAGAGGCTCCTGTGGCAGACGGTGCTGGCATCAAGGTCAAGTCTATTCGTGGGGCAGCTGCTCCCTCTACTTGCTCCGGAGCGCTTTATTGCTTGCGGTTGCAAATACCTTAGATTGTTGTGAAGGTGAACATCTCTGTGGCCTTGGAAATCCAGCCAGCACTTTGCACGAGCACGTCTCCCGCCCTGCCCGAGAGCTCAGGGTGCGAGCACCCAGAGAGGGGACTGCGATGGGGCTGTCCTGGGGGGAGGAAGAGTTGGACCAAAGCGTAGCAAGCACCCGGTATGGAGCAGGGAATGGTCCGTGAAGGAACGTTCTCCAGGCTGGCACAACAGGCTGGGGTCCCTGCTCTTGTCTTTTCCTTTGCGCTTCATTTTCCTCCGTCCTGAGCCTCCGCGTTTGTATCCCTTCTGGCTGCGGTTCCCTCACGGAGATGACTGAAGGTGTTTCTTCTCTCTTTCCAGAGAGTGGGTACTGAAAAGCAGCCTCTTGATAGCCATGGCGGTGTACACCTACCTACGGCTCATCGTGGACCATCACGGCACGTCTCAGCTCCAGGCCCTTCGTCAAAAGGAGGTGGATTTCTGCATCTCCCTCCTCCGTGAACGGGTGAGCAGATCTGGGGACGCAGGGGATGGTTGGGAACAGAGTCCTGCCTCTCTGAGGAGTCTGGGTCTACGTGAGGTGGTGTTGCCCGTGTTCCTCGTGCAGCTGGAAGCGCGAGACTTCTCAGAGTCTCCCCGCAGCTTGCGCTGCGCAGACGGTGGTGTGTGGTTCATTCTCAGTGCAGCTGCGAACGGCTTTTGAACCCGTTTACACCATCTATCCCACCAGACTCCAGGCTGCAGAGGGGGAGAGCAGCTGTTTTGATGGAGCTGCCTCATTTCTTTCTCTCTTATTCAGTCCACAAGGGTTGAAACCGTTCTCTTCCTGCTGCTTGTGGCTTACCATACCTGCAAGAACGTCGGTTTCTCCCTTGGGGAGGCAGCCGGCATCTTTGCAGGCTTACAGAGAACGTGACAGCCCGCTCCAGGCCACTCTTTGGTCCCTTTGGTGCAGGAGAAGCCACCAAAGCCAGGTGTAGGCAGAAATCCTTCGTTTGGCATCCCAGCCCCGCGGGACGCGATGGCTCTGCGCTCCCCGCCCGCTGGTCTGAGTGCTGCCCGCTCTCCCCTTCCTCCTTGCTGGGTGGGAAGGACCAAGTGTCAAGTCCTAACTTCAGAGACTGGCTGCAGTCCTGGAGAGAAAATGTCAGATTTATGGGCCGATTGTTTGCTTTACAAGAGAGAGAACATTTTAAAATAGCCGTTGACCTTCCCGCCTGTCACCCTGCCTCTCAGAACCTGCTAGCTTCAAAAGAGGGGCAGGCTGCCAGGGGCAGGAGCGTAGATATTGTGCAAAGAGTGAATCATCTGGAGCCAGCGTAAGGTTGAAGGACTGACTGTTCCTCCCCTCCCCTCCTGCTTTCTCTCTTCCCCCCTGCTCAGGAGCAGGAAAACAGTAAATGAGACTTTTTCGGTGGTTTTTTTTTTTTCCTTCTCCTTTCCCCAGTTCATGGACTGCTTCATGATCGGCCGGGACCTTGTGAGGCTGCTGCAAAACGTTGCGAGGATACCCGAGTTCGAGCAGCTCTGGAGGGACATCATCCACAACCCGCAGGTCCTCAGCGCGCAGTTCACAGGTAGGCAGGGCCGAAGGGGCGGCCAGCTCCATCCTGCCCTGCCCGCGCTCAGCCGGGACCCCGCTAGCCACAGGCAACCTCCTTCTGCCTGCTCGCTTCCTTGTGGCAAGGCTGCCAGGGCTGTCAGCCCATTCCAGGGAGGATTGGAGGAAAAATCCTGCGCAGCAGCCGGTTTTTCACTCTGCACACCCTGTCTAGCTCAGGTCTCGGGACCGTGTTAGAGCCGAGAGGCTCTATTACAGCCCTAAAGCAAACCACGCTGGGTGTGTGGGCTCCTTCCAGATGCTCTCTTAGAGGAGAGCATGCAGAGAGCTATAATTACGCCCTGTGATCCCACCTCCATCAGCGTCAAGGCCCACGTGGCTGATTCCAAGCCTCTCTTGTCGCTAACTAGAAGAAGATGCCTCCAAAAGCAGCTTCCTGCTGGCTGCACGGAGCTTAGGAACAGGAGCAGGGCCCGGACCAGTCTCCAGTGCTCAACTCCAGCGCTTTGAAGCTTTTGCCATTTTGTTTTTAAATGCTACAGAGGTTTTGTAGGTGTCTGGGCTTTAAACCATCCTGAAAAACAGATGCTTCAGGCAGCTGTAATGACAGGTCATGAGAATGCAGCTGTGCCACGAGAAGGGTCATTAATTGCATTGCTTGTTCTGGACTTAACGCTTCCATAACTGTAGTTGCTTTTTTTTAATTAAGCTGAGATGAAATTGGAGCCCAAAGATATAAAGTGTCCGAGTCCTTCAGACTCTCCAGGAAAGAACCCGATGAAGCTCCATAGCTCTAAAGCAAGAAATCCAGAAGATGCAGCAACTGACACTTTCTAAATGGGATTTTATTTCTCCTTGCACGCTTGGCGTGCCGAACACTCAGCTCTCTGCACAGTCTGGGTCAAAATAGACATGATGGAGAGAGTGTTATGTTTATAATTTTTATTGGTATAAATTATTCACTTCTCTAGGGGCTACCACATCATTATCTGTCTGCAGTAATTCTAGTGAGTCTTTGGAAATGGGGCTTTAAAGTGTTCTACCCGCCACCCCCAGTGCCTGTTCTGCTCTCAGGGGTCGCGTTAACGTCACTTTAAAGAGCTCAGATTATGCTCAGGGAAACTGGCGGCACATCATTTGATTAAATGCTCCTTAAGCCTTGTGATCTCTGGCTTCTCCTCCATCTCCAGAACCTGTCTCCCATCATTGCTGCTCTCTGTTGAGATTTGCCAGCCGAAGGGCTGCAGGGACCGAGTTCCCCTCTCTGGGTTATCAGAATTAGCCTGCTGGGCTTGCGGAGGCCGAGGAATCTTAGCCCGATGCCTAAGGAAGGCTCACGTTTCACGTTTCCAGGGCTCAGCCCTGCCTCTTCCTGCAGCTGTACCTTCACTAGAAGCGTTTCTTAGCTCTGTCTGGATCTTCCCAGCTGAGTGCTGAGCTTTCATGTCCACGCTTGGGGCACCTAACAAAGGTCCCTCTAGCTTCACTTGCTTCCCACACCCGTAGGGGCAGCTGGTCAGGGTTATTTCCTGATTTGCTGCCAGTTTTAGCCAAATAACCCATCGAAACGGTACCTAAATTGGGGCTAGCATCAGTGCTCCTGGCTCATTCTCTTCTGACAGCTAGCAAACTCCCTGCGGTGTTTGCCCTTTCTCCTTTCGTTCCCTTTTTCTTCTCTTTAAAACCACAACCAGTGGCCCCGTGGCGTTGCTCGACGGTTCGCAGAGCTGAGACGACACCTGGGTAAGCCCACGCACACGCGAGCGTGTTTCTCCCTGCTCCAAAGCGCTGGTGCGGGCAGAGTTCACACGTGTCCCCGGGGGTTTGTCGCTCCTCCCTGTCCCGTGGAAGACCCCGCAGTTGGCTCTGGGGGCCGGATGGGAGGAATCTGAGCAGAAGCTGATCTGTCCAGGAGTGCCCTCGTTTGTACTTGCTCCTGCGGAGCCTGGAAGGCCCCCCTCCCCAAAATAATTTCCCCCGCAGGTGGTCATAAGACTATTTCTTTGCCTTCTTGCCTGCTGAGAGCCTGCAATAATTGCTCTGCAAGGTGGCTGTTATCTCTAGCAGCTGCCAGTCCACATGCTCTTGGGTTCGTATCACTCTGTAACCTCCGATCCCAGGCAATCTTGCTGAGCTCCTCGCTCCCGCGACCAGAGCCAGAGCTCGGCGGCACCGAGCGCAAGGGAAAACCGCAGCAGAGGGTGGCTCCGGGCACAGGACCCGTCCCTCCCTCCGAGCAGCTGGGAGCTTTTAACAAGCAAGGTGCTTTCATGGCTCTCTTCCCCCCCGACGCGCAGTTCGCTCCACCCTTTCTCTGAGCTCCGCGGGAGCCGGCATCTGTTCTTTCTGCTTTGAAGCTTCCCTCCTCCAGCCGTCCCCCAGGTGTGACCATCCGGCTGCACGGCAGAAGGATGACTTCCAAACGGCGAGAGAGCGAAGCGCACCTCGTGTGTGCAACGTCCCTGGCGCCTGTCTGTCTGCGTCAGAGCTGGCTGCCCTGTAAATCCTTCAGGTCTCGTCAAGTAGCAGCGAAGCCTCTTCGCTCAGGTCATAAATTCCTCCTCTTCGCGGCTGTCTGGGAACGAGAGCGGCTTTTGCAACCTCCCCTTCTCCTTCCCATCATCCGTTTTCTGTTATGTCTGATCTTTTTTGTTACATCTGGGTAATTCCAGGGGAGGAATTGGCCTTGGGCGCTGGCACAGCGCAGGACGGGTGCTCTCTATGCTGACCCTGCTTTTTTGGTGCCCTGGCCGAGGGGTAGGAGATGGGGAATGCGCGCTCCGTTGGTTATGGCTTGGGACTTAGCGTCTGGACTTTCTCATTTCTCCTCCAGATCTTATCCCTGCCCTGCTGTGCATCCTCTCTCCCTTTTTTTTCAGGCTCTCCTCCCTGGCGTCCTCATTAGTGATCTCTGACAAATGCTCGCTCCAGACAGGAGATGTTTTAGGAGATCTTTTCCAGCCAAAATCTTGATCCCTTTCCGCTGCCTGTAGCCTTGGGAAAACGGAGCTTAATGCTCCGAACTCAGCTCGCCTGCCTGGATCCCCTTCATGCCGTGCCGTCCGTGGCACCGTGCGAGCGCAGACCGACCTCTCTGTCTCTCCCCAGGTGTCCTGCAGCTCCTCCAGTCGAGGACTTCTCGCAAATTCCTGGCGTGTCGCCTCACTCCCGACATGGAAACCAAGCTGCTCTTCATGACCTCGCGGGTAATTCCCTTGTGCTCATCCTGGGGGGTCCTGTGCCCGCACGGGGGAAGAGGACACACGTCCCTGCCTGGTCCACGGTGCACCGGTCCTGTTCCCACGCTGTCACTGGGCACAGGGAGGGAGGGCAGAGCTTTACTGGTGCGAGTATTTCTCGCTTCTGGCATCTTAACGGCAACAGGAGGAGGAAAGGCTGATGTAGATGGGCCTGAGACATCCCTGGTATTCATTAAAAGGCACAAAACAGCTTTGCAGGGGAACATTGCTCCTGGCTGGCCGCTTTCCAAGGCGAGCGCTTTCTCTGAATGGCTGCGATGCGGTGGGTTATCGGAGCTCTGACAACAGCAGCACCGTATCCAAGAGAGGCCGGGAGCTGCGCAGCGACAGCACCGGGGTTAGCTGTTATCTCTGCTCGCACACCAGGCAGAGCTCGCTTCCCCCCTCGCTCTGCCTCCGAGGCCGCTCGCAGGGGCTGCGCCGTGCCGCACGCGCGGGGCGTGTGATCCCGTCCGCTCGGCTGGAGACGGGCCCTGCGTGAGAACGCTGCACAATGGCCTTTTTGCTTCCTCGGTCTCTCTGAAGACGCTGCCAGCGTGGGGCTGGTGGGGGGGAGCAGGGCGCGAAGCAGAGTTTGCCGAAAGAGGCAGCTTAAAGAATGGCAGACCGTGGTTCTAGCAGCCTTTCCCAAAACCTGCGTCTCTCCCTTCAGGTCCGGTTCGGCCAGCAGAAGCGGTACCAGGACTGGTTTCAGCGACAGTACCTGTCCACCCCCGATAGCCAGTCCCTGCGCTGTGACCTCATACGTTACATCTGTGGCGTGGTCCACCCCTCCAACGAGGTGCTCAGCTCCGACATCCTCCCGCGCTGGGCCATCATCGGGTGGCTGCTCACCACCTGCACGGTGAGTTGTGAGGGCCAGACCCGAAAGCGAGTCACGTAATATCCTGGGATCCCTTCCCTTGCAGGGAAAGCGGTAACCTGCTGATGCTGATGTTTCTGTTTTATGTTTATGGCCCGTCTACAAAGCGTGGGGCCTCTCCTGCCCCAGCGAGGTGCGAGAGCGTGTGCAACGAGGTGCCTCATTGGCTTCCGCTCTCTCCGCTCGGGACGTCGTCCCCTGTGCCACCCAGGACCGTGGTCTGCGGCACTTGTCAAACGGAGCAGAAGCTGCCGAGGAAACGGCTGTTGCTTTGCCCATGAACGCACAGCAGATAACACCAAGGGTTGTGTGGGGCCCAATTATATACGATTCAGGGTTGTAGCCAGGCTGCGCTTTGCAGAGCACGTGGTTTGTGTCTCCCAGGCTTTGGGGCTGCCCTGGCTGGAGCTGCTCTCAAAGCAGGCAGGTTTGCTCAAGAATTTCCCACCTTCTCTGAAAACACAGCAGCAGCGGGTACCTGGCGGGGGGGTTTCACCAGCTCTGCCCTATCCTGTTCGTGGGAAGAACATCACCAGCCCTCACCTCGCAGCAGCAGAGCCCGGCACGTCGGGCGTGCAGAGGGGACGAGGGCTCAGCGCTGTGTTCATCAGACAGTTTGTAGTATTTCTTTTTTCTTCTCTAGTCCAACGTTGCTGCTTCAAATGCCAAACTGGCCCTATTCTATGACTGGCTCTTCTTCAACCCCGAGAAGGACAGCATCATGAATATCGGTACTCCACGGGGCGTCTTTCTTTGAATGGGCAGGGGGTGAAGAAGGGGTTAATGGCTTCCAGAGCTGGTAGAGTTAGGGGGATCGGGTGGGGAAAGCTCAAAAAATTATCTCCAAAGGGCATCAGTTCCCTCCCCTGCCCTGAACTCCTGACATTTGCTGGCTTGCAGGAGAGCTGCTTTGATAGAGCCACTTTTAATTGCGGTTTTTGTATCCGTGGTAGGGGCAAGCGTCTTCCTCGAGGTCAGGGGCTGACCCCAGAGCGTCCGTCCCCGTGCGGGGCTGTCCCAGGGCTCAGGGCACCTGAGCAAGGACTGATACAGCCGGGAGCATCACCGGGTGCCCCTGCCTGCAGGGAAGTTGGTTCTGGCCATTGTTTGAAGCCCGAGTGTTATTTAGGAGCTGGATGAGGGCAAGGGCGTGTACGAGCCAAAAGAAGGGGGTTCCCTCTGCGCTGGGTCTGAAGGAATTGGGGGGCAGAGGGGGTATGGGCATCTCTGGGGCTCTCAGCACAGGGCTCCCTGCTCTCTCCTTCCAGAGCCTGCCATTCTGGTGATGCATCACTCCATGAAGCCTCACCCTGCCATCACCGCCACGCTGCTGGATTTCATGTGCCGGGTGAGCCGCCCCTCGCTCTCCGGGGAATTTACGTGGCTTGCCAAACGAGTTGCATGACGGGGGTTGAGTGATGAGGGATGTGAAAGCAACCGCTGGGGTCTGCGCAGTCCCTCTGCCACCAGTGGGACGGGACAGTGTACGGCGAAACGGCCGCACTCTCCTCTGCTTACGCCAGCCCGCTATGCAGAGGTCACTCTCCAAAGAAAGCCGGTCACTGTGTCACCCTCAGGGGCTTGTTTTAGCCTCGGGGGCTTGTTTTAGCCTCGTACACTTGTCCGTGGTGTGGAGGAGTGGAAGTGCGTTGGACTGGAGGTCCTCCATTAGGGATTGCAGCCGGGCCCTTCAGCCGTGCTCTCCGTCGCTGGTGCAGCAGCACGTTGGTGTAGGTCAGTGCTTTTCCTCCTCTGCCAAGACAGAAGCTGGGAGCAGTCAAGTGGTGAGCTGCACAGCTCGCGGGATGCCCCTTGCTCTGTGCTGACCGGTCGTGAAGGGCAGGAACAGTTGCGGAGGCTTAGGCAAGACACAGATCTTTGCTCCCCAGAGAGTTTTGGGACAAAGACCTGTTGCCTTTCCATCACGCAGGAAGGGAATTTCATTAATCCCTACAGCTGGTGATACCGGAGCAGCAAAATAGTGCCATGTCACTGCCCCAAAGCAAACTAAAACCGACCAAACCAAACCAAAAAAGCCGTTCCCCCTTTTTTTCCTCCGCATTCCTCAGTGCATCATCTGGTCTGTTCTGCTCTGAGCCTCTTGATTGCGAAATAGGCTGCAGAGTAGCTCAGTATCCGCTGGCAGCTCTTTTAACCTCCCCTTACCTATTCGAAATTAAGGAGGGATTTTCCCCTTGCTGATCTGCTCAGAGCACAGTCAGGCACGCTGCTGCGGACGCTCGGCCAAATTATTCGTCTCTTAAAACCAGCCACGAGAGGCTTTGGTGAGTCCTCGAGTCTCTTGATAAATCCAGTGCTGTTCTTGGAGGTCGGAGCATTGGGCCCATGTGTCATTCATTAATGGGAATGCCACTGTGGGAACACACGTAAGATTTCCCAACTCTGCAAATAAATCCTTCCAAAATTGGCTTCTGAATTGTTCTCTTTAGTATCTAATGAAATGTTTGGCCCAGTGTCATCTCCCGAGGGCAAACAGAATCTCACTGCAACGGCGGACAAGTGAGACCCATCATCTCCCTTTCAAAGGACAGCCAGGGAGCAGAGCTGGTCCTGGGGAAAACAGTGCCGAGAGCGGCCGGTTCCAGTAATTCGGTCCCAGGGAGGGCTGATGGTGTTTCTTGGAAGCGAGGTCTTTCCATGGCAGGAGCGTTGGAAGGGTTACCAATTGCATCGCTTTCCTCCCTCACGCCCAGCATGCTCTGTGTGCTCCCGTCCCCGTGCTGCCCGAATCCCAGAGCAGCTGCTGGTTTCTGGCAGAGGAACTAGGTAGAAGGTTCCTGGGATGACCCAGATTTCAGGGAGGAGTCCTCTTACTCCTTCCAGAAGCAAATGACTGTGTGTGTGGACAGAGCTGAATGTTGTTTAGGTTGCCCTTCTCATGTTCCCCCCCTCCCGCTCCTGCAGCAGTCGCTGCTGCTTGGAGCATGGCCCTGGCGAGCCGCAGGGCTTCTCCGAGCTGGCGAGGCAGCGTCTGTGTGGTTTTCTCATCCCTGGGAGATGCACCAGCTGGCTCTCTGGGGTAGAAAAGCCAAAGGCATGGGTTGATCCCCACCCTCCTATCCTCCATCCCTGAGATGATGCACTCACAGAGCTCTCCTGCTGCCCTTCTCGGTCGAGGGCAGCTGGGATGTGGTGCTTGAATCGAGGGTCACCCAAGAAGCAGAAGGTTTCGTGGCACTAACGTGGTCGTTCTCCTGTTTTCAGATCATTCCCAACTTCTACCCTCCACTGGAGGCTCACGTCCGGCAAGGCGTGTTCAACTCTCTCACCCACATTGTGGAGAAGCGAGTCCTTGCGTAAGGCAGCCCTGAATTTTACTACGTTTATACAACTGCTGTGCACCAGTTTTCCTGGGTCTCACCAGCCTAGTCAAAACGACTTCCAGGCTCTGTAGGAGCTGCGGGGGACGTTTGTATTGTGTATGAACCATGGAAGAAGCCATAGTTGTGTCTTTATGGTGCTGAGGCTTGTCCTGAGAGCTGTTCCTTTGAAGCAAGGGAATGGGTGGGTTAAAAAAAGCTATAGCCACGCCGCTTCAGGTGAATGGAAATGTCCCCGGCCCTTTCTGGTCCCCGAGCTGAACGGAGCAGCCTTGTTCATGGTGCTCCAGCCTGCAGAAAGCTCCTGCATCAGCCAAGTTCCCCTCCCAGGAGGTAAAGACCTCTTCTCCCCTTCCCACCTGCCATCTGGTGACCCAGGTCCAAGTGAGGGAACCCCGGCTGAGCTGCAGGAGGGAAGGTGGGACCTCGTAGCTTGTGGTCCGTAACGCAAACCAAAGCCCTGACGTAAAGGAGGAGATCCCCCTGCACGTCCACCGAGGTGAAGCCACGCAGCAGGGCACCGCATCCCGGCTCTTTCTCACCCCTTTCCCTTCCTACAGACATCTGGCCCCTCTCTTCGACAACCCCAAGCTGGACAAAGAGCTCCGCGCCATGTTGAGGGAGAAATTCCCGGAGTTCTGCAGTTCGCCCTCGCCCCCCATCGAAGGTAGGGAGCTGGGGGGGGTGGCGGAGGGCGGCTGCGGCAGGTGCTGCCTTCCCAGAGATGGGGCTTTTCCCGGCTCCCCTGCAGCAACAGCAGCATCCGGAGGGTTGGACCGGGACGCCGGGGAGAGGAGGGCTCCAGGTGCTGGTATTTATGGATGGTTGTGGTCTCCCTTCGTCTCAGCCCTGCAGTACACTGAAGATGCACGCTTAATCGTTTCTCTCTCTGCTCCATAGGGGCTACTTAGCCTTTCTTTTCTGTAGGCTAATTGATTAACTTAATTAGGTTAAGCAAAGAGCAAGCATTTCTAACCTGTATTTAGCAGGAGAGTGCTGCTGCTTTGCCAGATCTGCTGTGTCTGTAAGCCTGTCTGGTTTTTTTTTTTTCCTGCTGCTCCGGCTGCAGGGACTCACATAACCACAAACCCTGCTGCCCCAAGCTCCTCGGCCTCGCGGAGCTGGCAAAGCCATCGCTCTGCTCAGGGACTCGGGCTTTGCTGTTGGCCTGGGTGAGGGATGAAGCACGAAGGATGCTGGGCAGCTTGGGTGGAAAATACCCCGGTCCTGCCACACTTGGCACCGAGCGGGGACGATTAAATGGGGTTGCTGGGAGTGCCCTTCCCCAGCTTGAGTATTTCAGGGTCTGACACTTGCCCGGACTCTTTTTTCCTTTTTTTTCAAAGCACTTTTATCTCTTTGCCGGAGCCTTTTTATCGGTAGAGGTGACTCGTAGGCAGAGCCTGCCCTTCCCCTCGGCTGCGCGAGGAGCCACCGTAACCTCACTTTCTGCTCTGACCCCTTTGCGTACGTTCTTGCAGTCAAGATTGAGGAACCCGTTTCCATGGAGATGGACAATCATATGTCAGAAAAGGATGACAGTTGCTATGACAACGCCGAGGCCGCATTCAGTGACGATGAAGAAGATTTGAACAGCAAAGGTGAGGAGCGCACTCAGCCGAGCGCCAATGTTCTCAAGTACTTCTGCGTCGCCGCAGCATGAATCGCTGCCGTTTGCCTCTCCGCTGGACGGTGTTTCCCTGCTGTTTTGCGGGCACCTTCCCTTCGTGATGGAGGATCCCAAGACAGCCATCTGTAAGCATAGTTCCCACCAAACCCCTTTCCCACGAGCGGCAGGAATTGCTGTGCTCGAGGCAGACCCCCTTCTTGAGATCCAGGTTTCCTTCTGCAAGGGAAGGATGTCGAGGCCGATGCTCTGCTGCTTCCCAGTCCCCAGCAGCCAGACTCAGTAGATCGGAAACAGATCTGTGCTCAAAGGGAAAGGCTGTTGGGCTTCCCCTCCTTGCCTGGTAATTCCCTAGAGCTTAAACCGTTCAAAAGTAGCGTTTTCTCCACCCGTGTGTCCTCTCTAGATGTCTTGACTAGCCTTAAGCCCCGCTGCTTGGTTGGGAATCCCTGTGGCAGATGCTGTGCCTGGATGGTTCGTTTGGGAACAGGGTGTCTCTGTTCTCAGGCAGCTGCTAATGAGGCTCAGGCCTTTAATTCCTCAGCCGCAAGGTTTTCATTACACTCGCTCCCTCTGAAAGCTCTCGAAGCCGTGGGGCTGACAAGCCTGCACGAGGCCAGAATCCCCTCTGCTCGCTCTCTGGAGCTAGAGGCATCTCAAGGGGTTCCTGGCTTTGGTGGTAGGACTCTTGCGGGCTTCCTGCCGTGCCGGAGGGTTACCCCTGCCGTGAGGAGGGGCCGCAGGCCCCAGGATGGGGGAGAGGATGGGACTTTGTCCTGCAGCACTCACTGGCTTCAGTAGTCCCATTGGTGCCCTGGCAGCTGCTTGGGGCTCCTGAGAGGGACACAGGCTCGAAAACCACGTGCAGAGAGGATTTTTGCAAAGCGGATCAGCCACCTTGTCCCATCCCTTCGTGGGCAGCTTCTTTGCGAGCGCTTCTGCTTTGGCCCTGGCGCTTTGGGAGTCTCCTGCAGTTCATTTCTGTGGCCTGGAATGAGCCTGGAGGATGAGGGTGTGGAAAAGCAGTTGGGCTATCTCAGTCCCAGAGTCCTGAACACAAGCGTTTGTGCCTCGGGTGGAGAGAGACTTGCGAGCTGGCTACGTTGGTTGAGTATGTTGAAGGACAGGCAAAGCGTCAGGTTTAGAAACTGGACTGAACGGGAACCACAATTCTGGACACCCCCTGCGTTTCGATCCCATCCCAGCTTCCTGTGACCTGGACACGTCTTTAAAGGGTGAAGGGAAGATGTGAGGCTGGACCGCACGCTGGGGACATGCTGCGTGTCCTAGAGGGGTGACCGGCCCCGCTTCAGCCCCACACAAATCCTGCTGTTAGGACAGAGATTGCCTCCGGTACTACTTAGACGTAGCTGCTTGGGAAAATAGACTTTTCCACTTTGCTTTCTTTGTTGCAGGGAAGAAGAGGGAGTTCAGGTTTCATCCCATCAAAGAAACCATTGTGGAGGAGCCCGTTGATATCACGCCATTCCTGGACCAGCTGGATGAGTCACTGAAGGATAAAGTCCTGCAGCTGCAGAAAGGAAGGTTGGTATCGTTTGGTCGCGTTAACGTTTCATCTTGATCTCTTCAGGGCAATGACACACGGGACCTTTTAGTCCCGTTGTGCGGTGCTGTTTGCTCCGGAGCCTTTCTCTCAGAGCTAACGCAATCTTGTGGCTTGTCTCCCTTTGACACGGGGAGGGTCCTCCTGCACACTTCCCGCAGGAAATGTCCAGGTGGTTTTGAAAAGTGCTGGGTTAAGAGCCTGGTAATCTGTCCTTGGGACCGGCTGAGACCAGGACACAACGGCGATTTGCTGGAGGCTGCAGCATTTCTCTGAATCGGTGACAGGAAGGCAAAAGGCCCTGAGTTTCACCCTTCTCCGCTGTTGGATTGACGAGGGGAGGCCGCCTAGGCCCTTGGGGCTGTTGCTGCCTGGGAGTTTCGGTACATCTCTGCATGGGGCGCGTTCCCTGCCGACAGAGGCGTACCTATATTTGCCTGTTCTCTGGACTTCCCCACCTCCACTCTTGATTTTCAGTGACCTTGGAATTAATTCCATCTAAGGAAGGTTAAAAAAAGCTCTTGCTTTGCAGACCTTGGCATAGTAGACTGATTTAAGGTAATTTATGGCTTTAAGTGCATTTAATCTTATGCTTTTAGTCATTTAATTTGTTTGTTTTGCTGCAGACAACCTCGAGCACTTTTTATAAGTAGGTGCTGCAGCAGTGCAGCGTGTTCTTCCAGGGCTGGATCTCTGCGTGCCTTCCTCTAAGCCTGGCACCAACACAAAAGCAGAGCCTCCCCCCCCACTCTCAGGTCCTGGGGGGGCTCCCAAGCAGAGCCAGCTCAGCACAAAGTCCCCTTGTCCCTGCTTTTCGGTATCTTCCTATGTAACTTGGATTTCCTCTTGTTTTTGTGCTCCAGCGATACGGAAGCTCAGTGTGAGGTCATGCAGGAAATCGTGGATCAAGTCCTGGAGGTAACCGCACAGACCCGGAGCGACGCTGCTGCCTAACTGTGAAACCAGAGCGGCCGGAGTGGGGTGGGCCGGGCAGCTCCCGCTCTGCACGGCTCTGCCCTGAGAGCTGCGTCTGAAGGAGGGACGCAGAAGCCTGAGGACGCTCGAATCCTAAATGGGTTCAAAATGGCGCTGGGCAGCTCTGTCCGTGGTTGTTAAACGCATCCCCGAGCTGCTGCTTGCTGGAAGGGTCTAGCAGGGGAAGATCACTCCGTCCATGCTCTGTTTCCTTATATCCCGTCCTAAATGTCCCAGTAGTTGCTCTCGGACGGGACGCTGGGTGAGGCACGCTCGCGTTTTCACACCGCGCGGCTGCTGTAGTGTCTTGCGGAGCTTCTGGCGGTTTCTGCGTGTGCCGTGGGATGCTCCCTTGCTTTTGCTGGGCTTTGTGCTCAGGAGAGGCTGCAACAAACCCTGCCCAGCAGAAGAGCTGCAGATGTTTTCCAGGAGCTGAGTGTTCGTGGGAGGTTGCATCCCCTGCCTCTAATCAGCTCCCTTTAGAGTCAAGTGGCCTTTTAGCACACGAGAGCTGTTTCTCCGCTCTGTTGGAACACAGGAAAAGGGCTTGCCAGAGTGTAAATCCTCGTTGCCAAGAGCCTTCGGTCCCTGTTAGCCCTTTGCAGAGGGAGAGCCGAGCTCAGTGAATTACTAACCATTAGAGGATAAGTGGACCACAGTGATTGTGAAGTGCCTCAGAGCTGGACGTCAATTAAGGGCTTGTCTTGCCGATGAGCAGCTCCTGGTGCTGCAATACAGCAGCAAAATGGCTTCTGAGCAGCTTGGGGTCCGTTCCCCTCAGCAGCGACTCTGCTGTGTCCCTTCTAGCTGTACCTGTGCTGGGCAGGCAGGGTTTGAGCTTGTGCTTTCTCCTCTCATTCCTTCCTTTCTCTTTACTAGGAGGACTTTGACTCGGAGCAGTTATCAGTGCTCGCATCCTGCCTCCAGGAGCTATTTAAGGCTCATTTCCGTGGTGAGGTTTTGCCAGAAGAAATCACGGAGGAGTAAGGATCTATTTTTTTTTTTTTTTAAAATTTATTTTTTTGTGTCTCATCCTTTCATACTGGGACTTGGGCTTTTCCCAGTAAAACATTCACCATTTTCGGAAGGCTGTGCCGAAGCCAGCAGCTTCCCCTATGAAGCAATCCAGAGTTCACAAGCGGTCAGCGTGGAGCTGGTCAACAGTTGTCATATCCAGGGCTCGAAAGAGACCATTTTCCTTGGTCCTGCCACAGGTCCTTGTGTCAGAACTCAGTTTAGGTGATGCTCTGGTGGCTTCTGACAGTCTGACCCAGGCACGTAGAGTCCTAAATACTCCATCCATCCCGTCTGTACTCGCACAAACCAGCACCATATGCTCTTCTTCCGGGATTTTGTTGGAACAGGGCTCGGAGTCCGAACTGCTGGATTCTGTTAGCAGGACCGTTCCCGTCTCCTCGTTAGCTAGGGCTAATCCTTGATGGCCCCAGGACCACAGCGAGCAAGGTCCGGGGCTGTTTCCCTGCTGTTGCACGGAGGGAAGGGACACGTAGAGCTCTGACTGTTGCGTTTGTCCCGCAGGTCTCTGGAGGAGTCGGTGGGGAAGCCTCTCTACCTAATATTTAGGTATGTTTTTTCTGAAATGTTTGAATAATCTAGTTAGGGCTTGCTTGTTTACTTCCTGACCGCCACCGTGGGTGAACCCTGTGGGTCTAATTCTGCCGTGCCCCTGCTTGCCCCAGGGCTGATCCCAGAATCAGAAGAGTTTATTGCTTCATTCTGTCCACGTCGTGTTTTGTTTAGTAGACTTAAAATACAGGAAAGTCACAGCTCCTTTGGTCATTTGTGGAAGCCTGGCATCCCTGAGTAACTGAATTTTGCTGGGTCCTCTGCAGCAGGGGTGGGAGAGGTAGCCCCCGGGTCCAGCACCGAGAGCAGGCGGCCAGGACCGTCTGGTACTGGGAGCTGGGTTTCCCTGCAAGCTGCCGGTCCTCGTCCTTAGCGGAGAAGCTCGTGCGTGGTGTCCCGTGTAACGTAGCTGTCTCCCTGTCCTGTGCTCCCCAAGGAACCTCTGCCAGATGCAGGAGGATAATAGCGGTTTCTCACTGCTGCTGGATCTCCTGTCGGAGCTCTATCAGAAGCAACCCAAGATCGGCTACCACCTCCTGTACTATTTAAAAGCCAGGTAGGCCAGAGCGGGGATTGAGGGGAAGAGGCCAAGCTTCGCCACGGGGACGACAGGCTCCTCTCACCCGGGCGCGTCTCCTTCTAGCAAAGCTGCGGCAGGGAAGATGAACCTGTACGAGTCCTTCGCCCAGGCCACGCAGCTGGGGGACCTGCACACGTGCCTGATGATGGACATGAAGGCCTGCCAGGAAGACGACGTACGGCTGCTCTGCTACCTCACCCCCTCCATTTACACGGAGGTAAGGCGCCCGCCGGGCACCCCAAAACCCCCGTTCGGATGTACGGGGCATCCCCTCGCCTTCCTGCCGGCAGGTTTGCTTCTGAGCTTCAGGCCTGTTACACAGCAGCAGAGAAGCCATAAAACCTAGAAAAAATTTTGTCAGGCTGAGCACAAACAAAGCCTCCATCCATCCCCCCCTTAAATGGGGGGGGGGGCGGATCAGCGTGCTGCCATAGAGATGTTCAGCCGTCGTCCTCCCTGCGTACAGCCCCATTAAAACCTGACGTGGGTTGCGAGCTACTAACCTTGCTGTCCCGGCTTCATCTCGTGCACGTGCTTGGCTCCCAGCACAGCGTTGTCTGCGCTCCCTGGTTAAAGAGGTTTTGCTCTCTGCTGCTTTTCTTCTGGTGAAGGCTCCGAGCAGACGTGTCAAAGTCGGGGGAAGCAGCGTTCGGAACGAGTTCTGCTGCCTGCCCCGAACCCTTGGGTTTAATGAAAGGTTTTATTGCTTTCAGCACTCGGTGCTGAGGTGGAGCCAGCTGGACTTAGCAGAGAGCACGTTTGGAACGAGGAGCCAGGCATCTGCACCAGATAGGTCACAGCTCGGTCCCAATTCACGCAGCCTTGCCTGGGTCTTGGACAGAGCTGCTGTTGCTTTCCTGCTGCCGGGATGCTGTCGAGCTCTCTCACAGCCCCGTGCGGGCTTCAGTCTTTTATTTGAAATGGTTGCAGGGTGGAGGCTGCTTCCAACAAGCATCCAGCAATCGCCCAGCTTCAGGGAGCGGTGCTGGGGGTTGGAGAAGAGGGGAGGGGGTCACGGTTCTGCGTGTACTTTCTCATTCCCTGGGAGGAATGAGCTGCCTCCCCCCCACCTCCTCCTCCTCC